CTAACCTATTCTAGTTTCTCTATTCTATTCTAATTTATTCTATTCTAATTTCTCCTAGTCTATTCTTTAACCCTGTGGCATTTGGGGAACTGCTGAGAGTCTTTGAAAATGGAGCAGCATCTAAAAAATCAAAGTCATGAAAGGTGGATATAATTGTGATTCCTGCAATTGGAGGTGGACAATATAGAAAGAAACAGACAGACAAACAGAAACAGACAGACAGACAGACCATTTGGCCTAGTGGTTAAGGTGCTGGCCTAGAAGCCAGGAGATGGAGAGTTCTAGTCCCGCCTTATTAGGCATGAAGGCTGGCTGGGTGACTTTGGGCCAGTCCTTCTTACTTGGCCCAACCTACCTCACAAGGTTGTTGTGGTAGAGAAAATTGGAGAAAGAAGGACTATTAGATACATTCGCTGTCTTGAGTTTCTTGTAGAGTAATAAAGGTGGGATTAAAAAGGCAATGAACTCCGAGTTGCAGGATCGTTTCTCTTTTCATCTTTTTGACCCCTTGGTTGCTTTCAGCCCCCTCCAAAGCTGCCAAGCAGAGTCTTCAGTCCAGAATTCCAAGACTTTGTGAACAAATGGTGAGTTCGGACTCCAATCTGTTTCCTTTGGGGACGAGGGTGGGGGGGTCAATGAAAATGCTGGGGGGGTTGACTCTCTGAAAAGGCGTTTTGGTAACTAATAAAATGAGGTCCGTTTTTGCCTTTCTGGACCAAACTTGCTCACAATTCAACATGATGGTATGATTTTTCAAGATTTTTTATTTATTTTTTTGTCATTTGATGGCCACGCAGATCGTGTTTCCCCAAAAATATGACCTACTCAGGAAATTAATCCTAGCTTGATTTTTAACATGTGCGCCCAATATAAGCCCTACTCCCAAAATAAGCCCTAATTTAAGATCCTGCCCACTCCAGAGTGGACAGGTAAAAATTAAGCTATGGAGGGGTGGAGCTGCCCCACTACTTACCTTTGAACAGTTGCAGCCAGGCCTCGCACACCCAAACACCTGCCTTGCCGGCCCATTTCTTCTGCAGCTGGCAAGGCTTTCCCGAATAGCAAAAAAGAGGCCAGGGGCCACCCATGCAAGTGAGGTAAGTCATCCCCCCCCAAAATAAGACCTGGTGCCTTTTTTTTTTCTTGGCAAAAATATAAGACAGGGTCTTATTTTCGAGGAAACACAGTCGTTTTTGAGCAATGTGCTGGGATGCACACTCCAGCAACATGGATAAAGCCAGGGCAGAATCCAAAATTGATCTGTGTCAATTCAAATAAAGCATGGGAATTATTGACCATGCCTTGAGCGGAGATTGTGCCCATGTCAACAAAGGTCCATTGCAACCACAGCTCATGTCCTGTTACTTTGCACAGGATATAATAATATCCTTGTAGATATATATATATATATATATAAAATCATTATCAAAATATTCAGGAAATTCTGATCTCTTTTAGGTACATTAGATCAGTATGATAGTTTATTTGAACATGGTTAAATTTTGCTACACTTATCTGTAGAATTAGGCAGATTTTGGCCACCCACCAATGATCTCATCCCTAATTATAATAAATGATTATGTCTTCTTCTTCTTCTGTTTTGTTTTATTTTAATTTTATTCTGGTATGGGACTGTAATGAAAGCTGGACCATGCATTTAAAGCTTCGTATTTTGGCTTGCCATTCATTCAACCTTTGCATGGAATCCAGAACTGCAGACCTCCTATTTAACATATACCTCAACCATGATTGTGTTTGTGGGTGTGTTGGGCTCCCAACTGTAATATATAACTTTTTCTTTTTGACAGCTTGATCAAGAATCCGGCTGAGAGAGCAGATCTAAAACAGCTTATGGTGAGTGAATTGTTCCTGTTTTTTTTTTTTTGAAAGATGCATATTGCAAGATTCCTCCCCTTGGAATCTACTGGTTTCATCAACATGCTAGAGTGGTTTCATTAAATACTTAGAAAGTCAACATGCACGACTTCCAATTAGGGTTGCTGACTATTCTGTTCTATTTTCTATTCTATTCTATTTCTATGGTGGTGCAATTCGAATGCAGCATTGCAGGCTAATTCTGTCAGTTTGATCCTGACAGGGCTTAAGGTTGACTCAGCCTTCCATCCTTCCGTGGTCGGTAAAATGAGGATCCAAATTGTTGGGGGCAAGAAGCTGACTCTGTAAACCACTTAGAGAGGGCTGGAAAGCACTATAAAGCGGTATATAAGTCTAAATGCTATTGCTATTGCTAATAAGAGGAAGGAAGGAAAGAAAGGGTGTGATGGGAAAGGAAGGAAGGAAGGGGAAGGAAAGGGGAGGGGTGGGAAAGGAGGGAGGGATGGAGGGAAGGAAGGAAGACAACTGGACCTGGCACATCCATTTTAGTCAGCAAGAGGCTGATTCTGTAAACCACTTAGAGAGGGCTGGAAAGCACTATAAAGCGGTATATAAGTCTAAGTGCTATTGCTATTGTCTTTTCTCCTTACCAGGTCCACATTTTCATCAAAAGAGCGGAAGCGGAAGAGGTGGACTTTGCGGGCTGGCTGTGCTCCACCATCGGCCTCAACCAGCCCAGCACTCCAACCCACGTCGGCGGACTCTGAGCCGCTCCGCTGGTCACGGTACGAAGACTTGCACCGGCTGCTGCTGCTGCTGCTGCTGCTGCTATGCAACTTCCATTCCACGGGGGAGGCCGACTCGGAAACCGCTCACTCCAGACGCCCATCGATGCGCACCGGGGTCGGGGAGCATGGCATGATGTGGCGCATTGGTGTTCCCAGCCACCTCCCGCTGTTTAGAGCCACGTTTCCCCCCCCCTTCTTTTCCCATCAACTCAAAAAAGTTATTCTGCTGCCCCTCCCGCCGCCGCCGCCCTGCTTCCGTGCTGCGCCTTCTCAAGCTTGTCGTGCCAAATTCTTTTCCAGGTCGAGTCCCTTTCGCGGGTTTGTGCGAACAGCTGTTGTGTTTTGATTCTCGGCGACCAAATGTGACGCTTCGCGCCGCCAAAACCGGCACAGTTGACGTGAATGATGGATGCCTTTCCTTAACTGGGGAACCTCGTCAAGAGACCTGGTTGGCTGTTCCCAGCCTTGGTAGACTTTTGTCCCGTGAGCCTTGTGTAACTTCGGTGGTCCCTTTTTTTTTTCCCTCAGCTTTTGCTTATCCCAGTCCTGGTCAGAACAGTTAGAGACGGGTGGGTTGCTTTTGGACATGGATTTGATGCCACTAAGCTGAGGTGGGAGTCATGAAGAACCCTGGGTCCTTGAACCGGTGGGGAAAACCATTGGTGGGCTTCAGCCTGAGTAAAGGGTTATTATTATTATTATTATTATTATTTGGCCTCCCCTCCTGGGTCAGTATGAACACACCTGTCGATGCTTTTTATTTATTTGCCTTGTTGGATATTTTGGGCTGGCTTGGCTGTGCTGTTTTTTCAACCTTGAGCTCTTCAAGATGGGTGGGCTTCAACTCCCAGGATTCCCCAGCCAGTTATTCTGGGAGTCGAAGCCCACCCATCTTCAAGGGTCCCAAGGTTGAGAAAGACGGGCGTAGTGGCACTCATCTCCTCCATCTATGAATTTGGTATCCGTTGTGCACGGGTGATAGGAAACTGTCCGGCAGAATCGATGCATTTCTTTCTCTCTCTCTTTTCTCTTTTCTTCTTTTAAAGGCACCAAGATTTATTTCCCTTCTAAGGACGGCTGAGGTTATTAGATGTCATGAAACCTCTGCCTCCGTTGTGTTGGAAACTTCTTTTTAATCATTTTACTCTTTCCAGATGTTGAGCCAAACTGCATCCTACATTTAATAAATGTCACCAAAATCACTTTGGGAGAGTTTTATGGGGTTTTTAAAACACGGGCCGTTAGCTCGCTTGGGGTTGATTTTTTTTCCGTGGCATTTTGGGTTGGGGGAGAGGAAGTAACTTCTAGATTTAACTCTGCCTCTGATCTCCCAGGCGTGATCTACAAACACTCCATAGCCCATCTTCCAGAGATCTCTCTTCTCCAGATGGAGGACAATTGTGAACTGTACCGCATGAGGTATTAAGACATTACACTGCAGGGGTGTCCAACCTTGGCAACTTTAAGACTTTAAGCTTTGCTGGCTGAGGAATTCTGGGAGTTGAAGTCCACAAGTCTTAAAGTTGCCAAGGTTGGACACCCCTGCACTACAGTATAGCACCTGATGGATGATTACCATAAAGCAAGGGTCTTCAACCTTGCCAAGTTTAAGACTTGTGGACTTCAACTCCCAGAATTCCTCAGCCAGCAAAGCAGGGCTCCCCAACTTTAGCTACTTTTTAAGATTTGAGGAATTCTGGGAGTTGAACCCCACAAGTCTTATAAAGCTGCCAAGGTTGGAGATCTCTGCCATAAAGCATAGCTCTTCCCCCCCTGCAATCCAGGCCCCAATCAGAGTGTTGTACCCACAGGTAGTCCTCAACTTACAACAGTTCATTTAGCGATGGTTCGAAGTCACAGCGGCCCTGGAAAAAGTGACTTATGACCACTTTTCAGACTTATATGACGGTTGCAGCCTCCCCATGCTCCCCCTGATCAAAATTCAGGCACTTGGCAACTGGCTCCTGTTCATATTATGACGGTCGTAGTGTTCTGGGGTCATGTGATGACTTTTTTTTTTTTTTTTGCAACCTTCTGCCAAGCAAAGTCAATGGGGAAGCCAGATTCACTTAACAACCGTGTGACTAATTTAACAAATGCAAGGATTCACTGAACGACAGTGGCAACAATGGTGGTGACATGGGGCAAAACTCACTTAACAAAGCTTTTAACTTAGCAACATAAACTTTGGGCTCAACTGTGGTCGTAACCAGAGGACGGACTACCTGTACTGGATTTGGGCCAAAAGTGTTGTAAAACGCACAATGGACACCACAAACAGACCTAAAGGCAGGTCTGTCACTGAACAGCTGACGTGTGGCCACAAGACTGCAAGGGAGGGGCTGGCAATCAGAACTTTGGAACCAGGTTTCAGGAACCTTTTTAGAGGTCCGTTGTAACTTCACGTGGTCCCAACACGTTGTACCAAGTCACCTGTAGGAAACCTTGGAAGTTGTACTTTCAACCAAGGGAGTATGGAAGGCTAGGAAGCACACAGAAATTTAAAGGATAGTAGTGACTTAACATATACTCTCTTTTGTGCAGGGGTGGGCCACGATTGCAACTTCACAACCTGTGGGCCTTCAGCTCCCAAAATTCCTGAGCCAGCTTCAATTTCCGCGAGTTGAAGTCCTCAAGTTGTAAAGTCACCCGTTGTCAACTCGTAAAACATTCCTAGGCCTGTTTTAGTAGTTGCCCTTAAAAAACAGGGTGGGAGAGGAAGGAAATCTGGAAGAGGAGTTGCAGCAGTTTGTGGAAGCGGAAGTACATTCCAACTCTTACCTTTAAAAGATTGTAACTCAAATACCAGAGCTTTTGCCCACAAATATATTTAATTGAAGAACGTGATTGATGACACCCAGCCCGTGAATTGGTTCAGTTGGAGAATCTGATTTATGACACACCCAGGGGGGAAACAGGGTCACAGGGGACTGTGAATGAGGTATGCCAGTGTTGGCTTCATACAGGGCAGTGCCAGTATGTTGCCTCTAATGAGTACTTAGAAGTTCTTTGAAGTTTGGTTCAAGGATCGTTAGGGTGATTGCTGGAATCCTGACAACCACAGTTGCCCACACTTGCTCTTGTGTGCCTGCCTTTGCAACTTGCCCCATTCCAGATGTGCTGCAGCTGGTTTGCTCCTTCCTGAAAATCAGTGCCCATATATGCTATGCCACCTCCCAAAGAGCTACCAATTCACTGCAGTATCTTAAGAGTCAAACTCGGGGGGGGGGGGGGGATGTATGCTCCCTGCCCCCCCCCCCCAAAAAAACAACTTCCTATTTTGGGGTGATTTGTAATTCTGAAGACACAAATCTATCCCGAGCGATGCAAAGCAAACAGAGTCATTTTGACAACCGTTGGAAGGACTGACGTGCCAACTGCCCGCTAGGAAAGTATCTTTAATATTACCCAGAGTAAACAAAACATATTTTTTTATTCCACACAAGTTTCATAAAATGGGCCCAAACGAACCAGAATAAAGGAGTCATATACAGCCATACAGGGGGGAAAAAATCCCATATTTTTCCACTTCTTTTGTGCAATTTATCCATAGGAGGTTCAGGAAAACCCAACTGGCACAGAACAGGCAGCTTCCCAGCTTTTCCTTTTTTTTTTTTTTTTGTTTACAACCGGGCAGGAGATGATGTTTTGTGGACAGATTATTGCTTCAAAAGTTTCGTTTCCTGAACTGCTACTTGTTTTGAAACGTAGGTCTGCTCTAGAGCAGGGGCAACTTCCAACCTTGGCAACTTTTAAGACTTGCGGACTTCGACTCCCAGAGTTCCTCAGCCAAGCTTTGAAGTCCACAAGTCTTAAAAGTTGCCAAGGTTGGAAGTTGCCCCTGCTCTAGAAAATGACTCGTGCTACATAATTAGGCTTCAATGCTGCCAGTTTTCCAACCCGCCCCGTAATTTATTACCGCCTTCAGACATTTTTGTGAGATGCTCAGCGGCCTTTTCTGGTTGGGGTTTTTGGGTCTCTGGAGCACCACACAAAGTTTCCTCCAAGCCAGGGAAAGCTTCGGAGCCCTGGCCTGATAGCAACACGGGTGCACTAGGAATCCGATTCTTCTTCTTCCTCCTCCTCTTCCTCACCATCGCCACGTACTTGTAACTGCAGCTTAGTCTGATTAATGGCCAGTTCATTGTCCATCTGTGCAAAGAAAGAAGAAAACGGGTCACTTCCTGCCAAGAAATATTAAGTCGGGGGAAGAAACACCCCGAATGCCATTTGCAGCAGGTAAGGAAATGCTGAGTTTGTGTTCTGACCCAAACCTGGTTCCACAAGAGTAAACACAAGACAAAGGTACCAGCACAACCTTTTACTGTTTCATTTACGAATCCTGTTTCTTCACAGGTAAAAGGCGGCTTCCAACTAATTAACTCCGATAAGTATTCTATTATATAAAGCAGGGGTGTCCAACCTTGGCAACTTTAAGCCTGGAGGACTTCAACTCCCAGAATTCCCCAGCCAGCAAAGCTGGCTGGGGAATTCTGGGAGTTGAAGTCCTCCAGGCTTAAAGTTGCCAAGGTTGGACACCCCTGATATAAAGTATTTTATTCTATTCTATTCAAGAGCCTTGCCAAGTTTTTGCAAGGCTGCCAAGAACACCAGATAAAATTACTAAACAATAAATCAAAGAGTCTCTAAACACCAACTCAGATATTCTGATGTCCACCAGGCTCTAGTATCAAACTTCTTTGCCTTCTGCAAAGAACTGCAGTTTCTCAGCTGGCTTTTATCTTCTCAGGGAGGGGCCATCGCCTTGCAGACTTACTCCCGAGTCGCCCGTGCTGCTGCAGCTGTTCTTTCCTTCGAGCAGTCCTGTGCGTGCGCACACTGGGCACAGGCTCCTCGGGGGCCTCTTCCTCATTGCTGCCAGCCTCCACAATCTCCAAAGGCCGCCTTCCACTCCCTGATGGTCCTGGCCCCATCCCTGCCTCACACGCAGGCCCCTCATCGGAGTCCTCGCTCTCCGAGACCTCAGCCGTCCGTACCTGCTGCTGGCAAACCATAGCAGCTTGGTGGATACACAAGAGTTAGTCCTTGACATAGGACCGTAATGGAGCCTAACAATTACTGGTTGTGTGTCGTC